TGATTCCCATGGAAAAAGCCAGTTTTGCAGCTTCTGCAAATTCTTCCCTGTATTCCTGTTTGATTTCTCCTTTGGATGTGTAACATTTTTTTTCTGGTCCCCTCATTTAATTAATGTGTTAAATATAATTTTTGACCTGTGTTCATGTTACAACTACACGAGAGTCTTGATTTTACCTCTTTTGAAAATTGCCTAGTGTATGAGAGAGAAGTCCAAGGCAGGAAATGGCAGCACACTCAAAAGGGCAACTGGGGATTAATCAAGGGACCATTCATATGGATGTGGGCTGAGTTGAGCAACCAGGGATGGTAAAGCACACTATGGCCAACAGAGGGAAAGTGGTACCAACTCTGGACTCACCGGCATGGGGTTGGAGCTGTGACTAAGAGGAACACAAACCCAGGCCTGGCAGGAAGGAGTTATGGTAGAAGATGAGGACTGAGGCAAACCAGACAATCAACTGGGTGGAATGTGTCAAAGGTCATAAACCCCTACTGCTAACAGGTCCTGTGAGAGGTTTCCCCCAAAAAGAAGACATGGACCCACAATGACTCCAGGTAGGGATCCAGAGCAATGCACACAAAACCAATCAGAAAGTGATATTCTCAATCCTTCATTTTCACATGGGCAGTCAAAAGGCACTGTTTCAGATCCCTCATTTATGTCTGGAGAGAGACCAAGCAAATTTTTCCACAGGACAGCTTACATTTGGTGTGAGGCCAAGTGAATTTTTTATAGGACAAATGTCCCAATGCCTATTGCATGAGGTGGAAATCAACTCAGGTATTTTTGGATACCAGAGAGAGACCCTTTCCCTTTATCCTCCAGGATCTCTGTAAACCTTTCCACCTGCTTTGTAGAGTGTACTTCTTTTCCCCCTTCATTAAATGAACACCCTTGGTGACTTTTGTGGGTCTTGTCCAATTCTTTGTTTGGGACACCAAGAACCTGGAGAGGAGCCCATCCCCCTAAATCTGGTAAAAGGATGAGGGGAATAAGTATAACTTTCTCTCCTTTTGTTTATTGAACTCCATGAAGCCAGGGGTAATGGTGACAGCTTATCAAGTCTAGTCTTGTTTTCCATCGCTTTTCCCATTATTTTCAGTTAAACCAGCCCAACACAGATCATAGATTCTCAGCAAATTTAGTCTGGCCCACATCAATGTATATGCCATTAATCCCCCTCAAAATACTCAACCCTCCCACCCTGTTTCAAAGACACTTATCCCATCATTCTTGGCAATGTGTCTTTACTGTAATTTTTTTAAAAATTAGACATTCATTGTAGTTTTCAATCACCCCTCACATATAAAAGTTTTTATGGAGGTTGAGAGTATGATTATACTTTTTGTCTATATAATGAACTAATTAGTAACATCCTCTAAGTTTCTCTCCAGCTTCTGGGCCTCAAGCCTTTGATTAAAAGCAAAAAGTTGATGAAGAGAAACAGAGAGAGAGAGAGAGAGAGAGGGAGGAGGTAGGAAGGAAAAATAAATTGACACACTATATATTATCTTACATTCTCATCCTCTGTATATTGGGTGGAAGCTCAGAGAATGTATTTTTTTGGAAGAAAAGAAAATACACTTAAAAAAAAATTCAAAGTCCAGGTACATAGCTCAGTGGCGCTACACCTGCCTGGGAAATGCAAAGTCCTGAGTTTGTTGGGGGGGGGGCACACTTTATAAAATAAGTGCTTTTTGGAAGAGCAAACCTTGGTGAAATAAATCTCAGGGGTTCTCTGTTTTCACAAGGTTCATCTTGACATGCTCAGGTGGAAAACAGCAGCATTGCAAACGGCTTGATGGAGCTCAAGAAAGCAGTGTCTGACAAAGTGAGAAGAATCTGGAGCTCAGGGACAGATCCAGAAGGGAAGGAGAGAAAGGAGGAAGTCGACACTGGAATTGCAAAAATGGGCGAAGGACTGTTTTAAGGGTGTCTAATGTGAAACATTAAATTGTTTCTCCCAAAACTTTGGTAAAGTCTGCTTTAGGCAAAACACACATGTGAGTGGTTTTCATAAAATCCCAATGTTCCCAGAGTTTTGGAGGAAAAGCCCCAGCTCTGAGGGGGTCTCAGCAGACCAAGTTTGGTCGCCTCTCAAAGCATTGGACCAGGAGACCAGCAGTGATGAAGAGCAGGAAATGAGCTTTGACCAGCGTGACCATGCTGGGAAGCACAAGGAGGTTCGAAATCTGTCTTCAAGGGGCTGGCAAAGCTTGGGGTTTTGTAGACAAGGGGAGCAAAGACCAGGGCTGGGGGATTGGTTAGCTGGCAGCATGGATAATACTGGTCAAGCTGTGGTCTGGTGATGGGTATCTCAGGATCGGGTCTGGGAGGTCCTGGAAGGCCCATCATTGCTGGAGAGGCTCATTCAGTTTCCACCATGAGATGACAGCTCCTGCTCTAGGGGAGCAGCCTCAGTTCGTCATGGGATAACTGTTCCTGTTTTGGGGGGGAGGTGACCCCGTCATAGCGTGGTCTGGGAGGCTCTGCTTTTCCAGGAATCTGAGGTGGCTGCAGGTTTAGGACAAGGATTGCAGATTTCTAGGTATCTCTCCAGGAGGTGTAGAACTGTAGGTTGTAATATGGATGTCCGTGAAAATTAGTTACTCTTATCTTGGTGTCCTCAGTCTTAAGGAGGAAGAGATAGCCTAGGTAAATTTAGGGCTAATAAACCTTGTAATACTCCTTAACTGATGCCTATGTGCAGGAATGTGTAGGGCTCTGACCCAAAGTTTAAGGTAACAGTGGGACAGATAAAATGAAGGCAGAGACGCCAAGCTTTATCCTGCTTTTAATTACCCATTAGGCATCTGAAGGACTAGCCTCTAAGTCCTTGTTACACTAACAAAGAAATAATAAAAACCAGTAATAACAACACAAGTAGATATAATTTATTGAGTGTTTAGAATGTCCTGGACATTTTGCCAATACAGATAGCTGTCCTGTCTATGTCACAACAGTCCAGTGATCTAGTTCTTATGCTCCTTTTTTAGGTAAGTAGACCCAGACTCAGAGAGGTTAAGAAACTCACAGAAGGGCACAGAGCCAGCACTCTGCAGAGCTAGGATTTGAAAACAAAATCCAAGTTCTTCTCATTACACCACACTGCTCCCCAATCCTTCCTGGACCATCCTTATAAAGCTGTTGTCCAGACTCTTGACTAAAGATCATCGACAAGCATCCCCTTTCCTTCTAGGGCTGCTCATTTCACAGTGAAAGTGCTCCATGCAGAGTCAAATCTGTCTCCCTACAGTTTCCACCCACAAGTCTTCCATGTGTTGTCTGGGCTGCCCCAGAATAAGTCTAATCCTTCATTCATGGAGTAGGCTAATACTGGAAGATATGGCATGGTATTGAAGGGCACCACAATACACTACCCCAAAATATTCCTCTTTAGGGACATGCATTACCTTGAGCTACAGGCTACTGAAAAAACAGAAACTCAGGACAGGAAAAACTATAAAAAAACAGGGCACATGTTGTTCTTTAGTACTGGAAATTTCTATTTATAAAAGAGATTTAAGTCTTTCCTTTGTCTTTTGACATTTCTCTAAAAATTTACTATTTTTGTTGAAGATGTCATATATATATACACACACTGTATATATGTATGAATTCAAGGTCAACTTTTGAGAATTACTCATTCTCTGGGTATCTCCTATGTACATATGAAATATACATGTTAATAAACATGTTCGTCTTTCTGTTGTTCATCCTCTTGTAATAGGGGCCAGTTCTAAGGATTTATGAGGCTTGCAGAAAAAATTACTTTCCTCCTCTACAACTCCAACCACTTACCTGTGTTTTCAGGTAGTCCATATTCCTTCACACTAAACACAATTTGTCGGACTAATACAACTAAAAAGGGACTCTCATCTTATTCTTCATATTTTTTTTTTTTTTATACAACTCAAGACCTGATCACCATAGAGAAATGAAGTGCTATTCTGTACCGGTAATTGTTTTACTGCACCAGTAAAAGTTTCATTGCATCTATGACGTGCCACATGGTTATATGGGGAAGTAGCAGTGGAAACAGGAGTTACAATAGTACCTGCAGCTTTTGCAGCTCTCTAAGAGTAAACCAGTATTAGAAACTGTTGGGCCGGGGATTTAGTTCAGTGGTTCCGGCGCCTGCTGCGCAAACGCAAGGACCCGAGTTCGATCCCCAGTACCAAAAAAAAAGAAAGAAACTGTTTACTCCTGTGTTCACTGTTCATAGAAACATGAAGGGTGGGGCGGCCAAAGGGTGACCCTGTGAGGTCAGTTAAGAGAGGGGCAGTCACAGCAGAGGGACACTTTAAACACACTGCTGACCGTGCCAAGGATGCCCGCAGAGAGCGCTGCAAGTTGAGCTCCCAGTGCTCTTCTGGGGCTGCAGTTGCTGTAATACTATATTTATGTACCACAGGTTGGCAAGGGAGGGCGCCTGAAGCTCTCCAGGTCTGTTTTGTCACCTACAAAATGTGGGGCTCGGCTGAGGATGCAAGGTAGCTTTATTGCAGAGCGTTTACATAGCACACTCAAGGTCCCGAGTTCAGCCCAGAACCCCCACCCCCACCCCGATGGTAAAGGAGCGACCTGCACCACAGAGGGCCGTTTCCCAGCAATACACAAGGAACACCAGCAAGGGAAGGGCAGTCCCGCCCTAAAAACTGAGGACTGCTGAGGGTGGGAGGGAAGCGAAGAAGGAAGGTGGGCTCTGTTACAAAAGAGCGAGGGAAGGGGGCGCAGCACTCTGCGGGCGGGACACGACCGCCTGGGATGCCGACGGCCAACCATGGTCTCCGGAGGAGAATCGCTTCCCGCAGCTCTGTCCCTCCCCGTGTCCCGGTCCCACCTCCACAGGGCGGAGCTGCGCAGCGATTCCGGCGTGGCCCGCCGCCCTCCGGGCCGCCGTCCTTCTCCTAGCTCCCTCAGGGCGGGGCTAGGGAGGGGGCGGGGCCGCGTCCCTGACAGGCTCCCCGCCCCGCGGCCAGCCACGTCCCGCACGTCCCGCCGGCCGCGGCGCCAGGCGGCAAGCTGGGCCTCGGGGTGCGCTCCTCCGGCCGGGCTCGGCATGAAGCTTACGCGGCTGCTGCGCGGGGCCGCCTCGGCCCGCCCGCGCCCTGGGCGGCGCGCTGCTCACCCCAACGCCAGCCGTAGTTTTGCCTCGGACTCCGGCTCCGGGCCCGCGTCGGACCGCAGCGTTCCGGGCCAGGTGGACTTCTACGCGCGCTTCTCGCCGTCGCCGCTCTCCATGAAGCAGTTCCTGGACTTCGGTGAGTGCTGCCCGGCTTCGGCCTTTGTGCGCGGCCGGGACGAGGAGCTCTGGTCCGCGCTCGCCCCCTCCCCCGGCCGCGAGTGCTTTCTTCCTCCCTTGAGGGTGCTGGCTCGTGCGGGCCGGGCCAGTAACGGAGCGTGTGGCTTTTTACCCTGTGTTGTCGAAAAATAATCCCAGAAGTACGCCGGCAGAATCAAGTCCTCCTTAGCACGGACGTGTGCAGGTGCACATTCGGGGCCAGGCCCCTTCGGAGAAGCAGGGCTCCGCGTAGAGCCTGGGTGTCACTTTCGGACTCTTGGGAGTGATGGTAAACGCGATCGTACGATGATTGCGTAGAATTGGCATGCATGGTGATAGGAAAAACAAGTTATCGCCGGCCCAGTGTTCCTTTAGAATGTTTTCCTTGCCAGTGGAGTAAGAGTGTTTCCATCAGCAGCAAAGAAGTCTTGAGCGTGTGTAAAATGCACAAGTATAAGGGGCCGTGGAACTTACCACTTCGCAACCCTGGTTTTCTCTGGAACATGTTGCAGAGTTAACCATTTGACTTTGACTTTTCATATGCGGGTGATGGGGGGGACAAGAAAAAACTTACGTACAAAGTCTTAAAGTTCGAGTAGAAGTTATCTTCTCCATGGTAAGTGCTATCAGGTCACTAACCTTTCTAGTTGGCTTGAAAGATAACACCATGGCAGGCAGCTTTATCTTAAAACTGAGGCTATATTGGCAAAGTTTGGAAATTTTTTTTGTTTTTGTGTTTTGCTTTTGTTTTTTTCAGCTCAAAGTCTTTGATTTTGCTTTTACTTTAAAATAACTATAGTGTGGTAAAGGGTGGAATTTAGCCTTGTTCGTAAGCATGCCATTAAACTTTCCCAAGAAGATGTTTTTCTTTATTGCCGTAATTCCCCCATGGATAGCCTAGCTTTTGCTAAGGTCGTCTCTGGTAAAGCAACAAGATTAAATTAGTCTAAAATGAGTTGCTGAAATAATAGGACTTTTCAGTTTAGCTTAGCTTTAAGTGAAGCTGCCATGGGCATCTTATATCTAGTCGACTTAGCATCCTGCTACAGAGTGAAGAAAGGAGCAGGTGTCTTTTCAGCAGACAACTGAATAGGTACTACTTGAAGGTGGTTGAAGAACAGGCATTGGTGGTTTTTTGTTTTCTGTTGCATGGAAGCTTTTCTCTGCACTTATTCTTTGCTTGTGGCAATCAGTATTAATGGTGCTATATGACAAGTCCTCCTTTGCACAGGTGAAAGTTTCCTTATGTCCTAGATAGGTGTTCACTTTTTGTAAACCTAATGTTAGGAAACAGACTTTTTTTCAATGATAGTAGCAGGAGGATACATAGGACAGGATTTTTAGGTTCTACTCTTGGTCCCTCAGCCTTACTTAGACACGCTCAAGTCATCTTAGTTCTAAGATGGATTGTAAGGATGGAAGTAAGGGAAACAGGAGAGTCTGGAGTTTTTTTCCTTGTAATACTGGGGATTGAACCCAGTGCTTTTGCACTGAGCTACATCCCCAGTCCGCATCCTCTCTTAATTTTTTTAGTTTTAGTCAGGGTTTCTCTAAGTTGCTTCGGCTATGCTGAAATTTGTGATCCTCTTGCCTCAACCTCCCAGAGTGTTGGGCTTACAGGCATGCACCACGATACTTGGCTGACCACCATGTGTAGCTGAGCATATCTTAATTGCCACACAGAGCCATTAGGTTATCAGGAATTGGAAATTCATTATGGATTCACAGATTCACATTAACTAAAGATTGGCTTGTCTCATCTCTCACCTCTCTCAGGCCTGGACCTGGGGTTAGGGTTAGTATCTTTGCCTCCTGATCTCTTCTGGTTATTATGGTGGTCATATCACTTATATGACTCTGGTCATATTATGCTGGACATATCACTATTGTTATCAATACAGAAACTCCCCCCTATATTTCTCCCTCTTTCCTGGCTTCTGATCCCTTATGGCTTCTACTTAACTACTGTTCCCACTCTTTTGTTTTCAGGATCAGTGAATGCTTGTGAAAAGACCTCATTTATGTTTCTTCGGCAAGAGTTGCCTGTTAGATTGGCAAATATAATGAAAGAAATAAGTCTCCTTCCAGATAATCTTCTCAGGACGCCATCTGTTCAATTGGTACAAAGCTGGTAAGATACCTGTCTCTTGTTCACAGTTCTGATGGAACTATGGACTTCAAAGTAAAAGCGAATGCTTCTTTCACTTTTCAGTAGAAATTTTAAGGCAGTGGCAGTAATCCTCTGCTGTGTGTGTGTGTCTGTGCAAGAGTGTGTATCTAGGCTTGTGCTATATGTTATCTAGGATTGTTTCTCAATCCTGGACTTTACCACTTCTTAATGTTGAAAAAACCAGTCAGACCCACACAAAAATATAAACAAATTTAAGATTTGTTACTAAATGTGCAGGGATATTATATTCTGATATAAGAAAAATATCTACCACTTGATGATGGATAGATATTTATATACATTACCTTTAATTCTTCAAGAACCCCCCTCTTATAGGTAGCGTTAACTCTATTTTACAGTGAGGAAACTGAAGCACCTGAAGGTGAAGTCCTTTGCCTAAGGCAATAGTGCACCACTGATATTAGAGCTAGGATTCAGACCCATATTTGTCTGTGTCTACAATGCTGTACTGTCATGGGATTGATGTAATGTATTAAAGGATATACATATTTTTATAAACAATTTATTTTATTGAAGTATAACTTTTTATAAATTACAAAAGTTAAAACTTATTTCTCTAATATGTATTTATTCTACATTGTGATGAAGTTCAATGTGGTATTTGAATATGTACATACAGCATATACTGATTATATTTTTCTATTTTAAGACAGATAGAAGTTACTGGAATAGTATAGAAGCTGTGATTTCTCTTCCCACAAATTATAGGAAAGGTCTTAAGGGTGTGCATTCATATGTGGCCACCTCTTTACAGCTATTGTGGTTAGTGCTGTTACATTAAAAAGTGTTATTCTCTTAAGCACTATAAATTAAAAGGAAAGAGCTGATCAGAATTAAGTCTTACATGGAAAAATTTTACTAGGAGACATTTCCCAGTTATGATCATGGGGATGTAATTTTCCTTTGTAGGTGGTATAGTTTGTAAGAGAAGCTGTTCTAACATCAGTTTTTAAAAAATGAGCAAAAAGAAGTAGTCTGCCTGCTACATGTATGATAATCAGATGCTATCTAGTTCCAAGTATGGAATAATTATAAATGTGGCTTAGGTGAGAGGCATTGTTTTGGAGATTGATAGAATATAAAAAATAAAATACAGTTTTCCAAGAAAGCTTTTTCCAGTGTGTTAAAATTATAAATAGCAAATGCTGTTTTTAAAAATCTGGTCTTGCCTAGCACAGGATAAGTATTCACAAATATCTCTTAAAGAGCATAGGCATTTCTTGCCTATGAAGAGATTATTAAGGGTTGAAGTAGAACCACAACTATCATAGTCACGTCACTTGGAATGCAGGGAGGCATACTGCTTGTCAGAAACAGCTTTCCAAACCAACATATGGCTTTATAGATTTTAAAATTACTTTAATTGGACCTGGATGCCTGCTAACTTAGAACAGTTGTAGATAAAGTGCTTACAGACAAGCCAGGTCAGACTTACACTGTTGAAGAAGGTAACTGAATGCTTGGGAATGTTTGGCTCTGGCACTTATAGTGGCTGCACGACCTTCAGAAAGGTCATGCCTTTTGGCCTTTTGTTGTTCTTTGCTGCCTTGAATTGTTACATAACAATGTTACACATTTATTGGGTTCTCTTTAAAAGGAGTGGCAATACTTCATTTTTTAGACATGATTTTGGTCTGAAAATAGTGTACATCCAAAGTTCTTTTGTTGTGCTTTGCTATCTTAGATTGTAAAGTACATTGAACACCTACATTTCCATGATTATGTACTTTTATTCAGTTCTGTTTAAAAGAACCATGTGATAGATTGCTGGCTTTCAATAAATCTTTATTGACATAAACATCTAAAACTATAGTTTTAAAGTGCAAACTTTTACACACACAGCAAACCGCCCCCCCAACCCTTTGTTAAATTTTTGAGACGGTCTTGCTGAATCACTAAGTTGCCAAGGTGTGGCTCAAACTCATGATCCTCCTGCCTCAGCCTCCCTCTCTGCTGGGATTATGGATGTGAGAGAATAAAGTTAGATCCCTGGCGTAGTGGACTGGCCTCCTCATTTTACTGAGACTGAGACAAGTCATTTGCCCAAGATGATGCAGTGCTAACAGCTTCCATTTTCATATAATCGGTATTTGTACCATAATATACAATGGGGTTTCAAAGATTGAAAAACTACTTTAAAATAAAGAGTTTAAAACTCCTATGTCAATTGCTTCTTGGCCTTTTGGCTAAGATCAAGTGTAAAACTCTTAACATTATATTTGAGCTATACTTAAAAAAAAAAATGTATTTCTACTGCTTTGTGCCCAAGATTTTGCTTAAATATAAATGGGTGTAAAAATTCTACTTCAGCCATAATTTGTAGCAGTATTCTAAATTAAAAATTATAACATGTTTAAAATAGCTTTTTTTTGGTACTGGGGATTGAACTTAGGACCTTGAGCTTGCCAGGCAGGCACGGTGTGCCACTGAGCTAAATCCCCAGCCCCAAAATAGCTTTTGAGCTAATTTTCACAATATTAAACTTTCGGAATTTAAAAGAACAAAGTTATCCTTTTAATTTGTATCTTAGGTATATCCAGAGTCTTCAAGAGCTTCTTGATTTTAAGGACAAAAGCGCTGAAGATGCTAAAGCTATTTATGAGTAAGTACATTAGCTTAACCATATTCTGAGCAGAATTTTTATAACTTTTCAGCATTACATAAAAATGTAGATGTATTAAGCTTGCCCGTGTTATTGGACCACTTTAGAGAAATTGATTAGTTTTTAGGCTCCTACTGCTTCAGAGCAAATGGTAGTATATATATTTCTGTAAATGCTTCATGGTCCTTCTTACTGTAGCTCAAGTGTGATGATCTGTGAGAATCTAGAGGTGACAGTGGTGCCGCTTGAACTGTAAACCTAGAGAGTATATGCCCCTTCCATCGGACAGCCACGCTCAGCTCCTGTTAGTCATTGCCATATGGAACTACAAAACAAATCATCAGTTTTTCTGTTTTTAAAGAAAGCTACAAGTCTAGATTTTTAATGTTCAAGTCCAAGTTTTAAAGGTTGCCAACTACAGTCCTTTTGTTACACTGAAGGGGCATACAAACGTGCCAGTGGGTTTCCATGACCTGTGGTCTGTAAGATAATGTATATCATATAACATAATAGAATTTCATAATCAACATACTAGGATTGATAAGGCCAAGTGCTCACCTCAAGCAGTTACCTGCTTATTCCAATGAAGGTGCTCACAGCAGAAAGATCACCTCTTGTCCTCAGAATGTTACGCATTTATTGGACTGTCTTTAATGAGAGTGGTAACACTTCATTTTTTAAAACATGATTTTGGTCTGAAAATAGTGTGTGCCTGGGGTTAGGTGTGGAGCAGACTGTACACAAGTGATGTTGTTTAGAGCTTAAAATAACTACTGAGATAATGCGTTTGTGCACAGAGGGTAAGTGACTTGAGGTCATGTAGCCAGCAAAAGGTAGGACCAGGATTTGGACTGGAGCAGCCTTACTTAAAAGTAAATATTAGAACCCTCTGTAGAAGGGATAGAACATTCTGAAAACAGTCACTCAAAACTGAACCTAGAGGGCTGGGGATTTAGCTCAGTGGTTTTGCCACCTGCTGCAAAAGTGCAAGGACCTGAGTTCGATCCCTGGTATCAAAACAAAACAAAACAAAAAAAACCCTGAACCTAGAAGATAAAATGAATAGTCATGCAGAATAATCTTTTTTTTTTTAAAGAAATGAAATAAGTGAAGAGGGACTGGGATTGTGAATTTGTTTTTTTGGGAATTTTGTTGTTTGGATTTTGGTTTAACAGTTTGGTTTGGAAGGTAATTACAAAGTAGGAATTCCAAAAATGTTTTGAGTAGTGAGAACATTGGAATAAGTTAATAGTCCTCAGGATACTGACTTTGCCTGGGGAAGTACTGATTTGGAAATGCAGATTCTCATTGGTATGTGAGGAGACTGATTTTGTTACTTCATAATTAAGGATTGTTTCCTCTTTTATTTGGTTCCTTACATTAATCATCCAATGTCTTCCTAGTGACAAATGGGAAGGCTGTATGATTTGAAAATTTTTCTTTTAATAAAGTGGATACTTTTCTTCTCCTGCTTTCTAAACTTACAGGATGAATAAAAGTAGAGTTCTTTTGTTACTTTTCTGTTCTAAGGGTGCTTTCTCTCTGTTCCAAAGCAGACAGGCTTTATTGGCTCACTCATCTTGATTCCTTACAGAGCATGTCTTCCCTAGAAGCCAGCGCTCTGCCTTCCCTTTTGCAGGATGTCCCTGGAATGCCATCCTCACAGTGAGTGCTCAGATGACCTTGGTTGAGAATGGCTAAAGAAAACTCTTAACATATTAATGATTTTTGTTGTGTGGAAGCCTTACTGTTAGGAGTCTAAAAATTAAATTTTGAGGGGCTGGGGATTTAGCTCAGTGACGCCACCACACTGCCTCAAAAGTGCAAGGTCCTGAGTTCAATCCCTGGTACCAAAAAAAATAAATAAATTTTGAAAGTTTTATTTCAGAGGTCCTTATACCTTTAAGGATTTAGAATATTTTATGGTATGAAATATACTAAGTAAGTGCACAGAAGACATGCACTGATGTTCCTTTCATTGAGCTAGGGATTTGTCTTCTAAGCTTGACTAAGCTTATATTTTAGTGTTGAATTCTCTTGTCAAAATATTTGGCTCTTTGTACAGACAGGTTTGTTTAGCTTTACAGATACTGTGATACGGATCCGAAACCGACACAATGACGTCATCCCCACCATGGCTCAGGGTGTGATTGAATACAAGGAGAGCTTCGGAGTGGACCCTGTCACCAGCCAGAATGTGCAGTACTTTTTGGATCGTTTCTACATGAGTCGCATTTCAATTAGAATGTTACTCAATCAGCACTGTAAGTGTCCTGAAGTCAAGAGAGGAAGCTAATGACAGTGTTGATGTATTTTAATTTTATTTAAAAAATTTCCCTTTAGAGAGAACATTTAAAGTATTTTGTCTATTAAGAAAAATAAATAGTCTGTTATACAAAGAAGGTATTTTTGTTGAATGTAAAATGCCATATTTATGCTTAAGGAAAATAGTTGTTCTCTTGGTACCATTTGGAGAAATAATATTCATATCTGGAAATGATGTTTAGGTAAATTCACTTTGTGTTTTTTATCTTTTGACAGCTTTATTGTTTGGGGGAAAAGGAAGTCCATCTCATCGAAAACACATTGGCAGCATAAATCCAAACTGTGATGTAGTTGAAGTTATTAAAGGTAAACACATTTCTCCTTTCTAAAAGGGTCCAAAAATCAGAATTGTTGAGTGTTATTTCTTGCAGTTAAAACAACTATTTATTTGCATTATTTGTATAATGAGATAAAATGTGAGGAACAAATATATGGGTTTGAAAAGCCCTTTATAATGTGAATTGTGTAGTACACAGGAGATGAATGTTTTATTGATAGAATTCTTTATTAGGAAAAGTTTCATGATACTACTATTGGAATCTATCTGTTCACTTAAAAAATTCGTCTCTACTCTCCAGTTTCTAATTCCTTACAATAGTTTTTTGCTTACTTTATTTTTCTTAAGCAGTAATTCATAAGTTTGGTTTGCATCTTTTCACACTTTTTTCTATTTATACCACATGTATACATACACATACAAAATTGTTACTACATTTTTTTTTTTTTAGAAAATGGAGTGCTTTGTACAAGTTTACAGACATCTTGCCATGTCAGTACATTTGAATATAATGTCAAGTTTTTGAGTGGCTATGTAAAGTGTATCAAATGTATAAATCTATTCTCCACTGATTCACACTTAGTTTATTTTCATTTATTTACCAACAGTATTGTAGTGAGCATCCTTAAATATATGTTGATTATTGCTAGTAATAAGACAAAACTCCTAGAATTAAAAACATTAAAATGCATTGAAAATTTTGGTACTTCAAAAAAATTTCAAATAGTGTATCTCTCAGTATTTTATATATATATATATATATATATATATATATATATATACACACACACACACATATATATATTAAATAGTTTCTTTAGCCTGCTGTTTTTCTTTTGACATGTTTATGGTATCTTTCCTCTTATAATATTTTAAATTTTTTATAGTTATAATCTTCCATTTTTCTTATTATTAGGCTGTTAGACTTTATCCTGTTATATTTATAACAACTTGCCTCAAACTAAAATCACTGAAGTACATTTTCTTCTGTAGGGAGTTTTAAATTTTAGTTTGTCATCACTAACTATCTCAGTACATGAAGCAGAAGTAAATTTAATGCTTTTTTTGTTTGTTTTGATTCACACTAGATGGCTATGAAAATGCTAGGCGTCTGTGTGATTTGTATTATATTAACTCTCCTGAACTAGAACTTGAAGAATTAAATGGTAAGCTTAATGTTTTTTCCTTAGTGATTAGAGTTATGACTACCTGAAAAGAAATCATAAGAGAACTTAGATTTGTTTTGATAGAAAAGGACATTTTCATCAACTTCATAGGACGTGAATGCTGAAAAAGACCAATCGTGTTAAAAAAAAAATATGTAATTTAATTGGATTCTCTATGAAAAACATTTTTTCTGCTCCGTTTTCCTTATTTTTTTTTTTTTGGTACCGGGGATCAAACTCGGGACCTTGCAGCTGCAAGTCAGGCGGCAGAACCACTGAGCTAAATCCCCGGCCCCATTTTCCTTATTTTTAATTGGTAATTGTTTGACTTTTTTTTTTTTTTGAAACAGGGTCTTGGTATGTATTTCAGGCTGGTTTTGAACTCACCGTGTAGCCTAGGCTGGCCTCAAACTCACAGCAATCCTTTTCCTCAGCCTTTTGAGTGCTAGGATTACAGGCACACACCCCCATGCCTGGTTTAAATTGTTTATGTATACTTCAGTAATGTAAGGCTTACCCTTTTTTCTATTTCCTGAGTTGTAAGTCATTTTTTATTGTTAAGGAAGTGCAAACACTGGAGATATAAAAGATGAAAGAAAGCTACTCATCTATTTAAGGATCTATTTCCCTGGGTTGTCTTTTCACTCTGACTATAGTGTCTTTTGAACAGAATGGTTTAGATATCTTGAAGGGAGATCGATGAGTCTTACTGTTTTTCCTCGAGGTATGATAGTTTGACAGAGGGAAAAAGATAATACTTTTTTTTTTTTGGCAGTGCTTGAGATTGAGCCCGTCCTCAGCCCTTTTTTATTTTTTAATTTTAGGACTGGGTCTTAATAAATTGCTAAGTTTCGCAGGTTGAGCTTGAATTTACAATTCTCCTGCCTCAGCCTCTTAGAGTGCTGGGATTAGAGGCATGCCCCACCCTGCCTGGCTAACAGGACATTTTAGGAAGGTGGTGGGAAGAGTAAAATTATAAAGAAGCTTTTTCTAAGCTGTATTCTGGACTTTAGAATGGGAGAGAGGTAGATGCTACTCAATTGAAAATAGAATTGCTAAAAAGAATCACAGTGTACAAGTGATAGTTTGGGAACATGAACTGCTGTGGGCAGTCCTATTTATGGTCCAAAGAGGTCAAATTTAGAATTGATTTATTGGTTAAGTTATTCTAGAGTATGATGAGTCTCATTCCTTTGCTCTGCTATCGATGTATTCTACATACACACAGCCCACCCTTCCCCACTCCCAATGGGATCTATTAAATGTTTGAATGTAAAATTAGTATCCCTTGAGAAATTGATGCTAGTTTAAAATTTTTTTGTTTTGTTTTATTTTTTTGAGACAAGATCTCTCTATGTAGTTTAGGCTGGCCTTGAGTTTACAGCAATCCTCTTGCATCAGCCTCTGGAGTGCTGCAGTTACAAGTGTGTGCCACCACACCCAGCTAAGTTTTTTAACTAAAATAAAATAGACAGTGTTCCATCCAGATAAAACATGCAGAAATTAGCTTTTTTAAAAAAAAGTATTAATGCGAATGAGACTGTGAATTTATAGACTTAACACTTGTCTTTGGGAAGTTAAGATTCCTAACTAAATGTTATCCTTTAAAAAGATTTAACCATTACAGAGAAGGATGGGAAGATGCTTTGCTTAAATTGTTAGGCTAGACTGTGGGAAATGACCACAGGCTGTGGTCTTTGTCAGAAATGTTTGTGAGTGTGGGTTTCAAACACTAATACAGTGAAGAAATGGTGTAACAGTTCTTCCCAAGTAATACTATCCTTCATAGTTAATGTTTTCTTTTCATCACCACACAGTTTAGTCTTAAAATGCTTTACGCACATCTCCCTGTACTTTTCATATTTTTCTCTTCTGCTCTGTAGCAAAATCACCAGGACAGCCAATACAAGTGGTTTATGTACCATCCCATCTCTATCACATGGTGTTTGAACTTTTCAAGGTTTGTAAAATAGTATTACATAACCTTTATCAGTCCTTTCCTGAGGCTAGGAATCTGCCTGGAAAGTCAGATAGTCCTCTGGTTTCTGTTTTGTTAAAAGATGCTATTTCATGTCCATATCATGTCACGCTCCTGCAGGACAGCCTTTCATCAGTATGGTTGGGCACTTCCATTTGCTGAGCTCAGGCTTCTCCCCACCCCACCCCACCCCGGGGGACTAGGGCTTGTACCCAGGGCCTTTGCACTGAGCTACATTTCCAGCCCGTTTTTTATTTTTTATTTTGAGGCAGGGTCTTACTGAGTGACTTAAGTTGCCCAGACTGGACTCAAACTCCCAATCCTTTAGTGGGATTTCTGGTGTGTACCACCACACCTGGGTGAGCTCAGGCTTTGAAGTCACAATGACCTGGGTTTGAGTCTCACTTGTGTCATTTAATATGTGTGTGACTTTGGGCAAGTCATTGAATCCTTCAGAACCTCAGCTTTCTCTTCTGTAAAACAAGAATACTATTTATAGATTGGGAATAACATACTAAGTGTCTGATGCAGCACATTATAGGTGCTTTAAAAAGCTAAGTTGAAATTTTTATAAACTAAAATGTTTGAAAGCGTGATTTCCACCTTTCTACCCTTTGGCCCCACTGATAAACCTGCCTTTTTTCTTTTTAAGAGAGTCATTCATATTGATTTGCAGGGTTTCTGCATTATATTTGTTCTTTATGACAGATTTTGAAAGCTAAATAAAATTGTAGGTATTGTTGAGAATATTTGTTTTTTTCCCCTCCAGTGATGCATGCTGGTTGGGTGATGAGTGGCATAGGTCCGTTTGGCTGAAAACAGCTGCTCTAAATCAGAAACCTATAGAGTCTCTCATATTTTAGTTACTGTGTCTTCAGCTAGCAGCAAACTAGAAGAGAGAAGAGATGGCTTTCCATCTGGCAATGGAAAAGAGAAATACACTGAAACTGACTCAGTACCTCAGGAAAACAAAGAATGCTATTATTGTTCTAAGATGGCAAGAAGCCACTTAACTCCTTACAAAAATCTATCAAAATGATTAAATAGCAATTGAATTTGAAGTGTTTAAACTAATTTTTTTCCTTAAAATTTCAATGACATAAAGGCCTTGTGCCCTGTAGTGGCGAATAAAAGTGTTCCATAATCTTTAATGTATCTTCCATAATCCATGTAACAGTGGCTCGCCTCTGGAACCTGATCTTAAATTGCAGACTCCTTATCAGGTCTGTTCAGTCTTGAGTGATGTGCCAGGGCCACATCTTGTATCTAAATTCAATCCTGACTTTTGCCTCTTTTAGTTGCTTTTTAAAAAATAGTGCTGGGATAGAACCCAGAGCCTTAGGCATGCTGCAAAGTGCTCTAAAGCTGAGCTATACCCCTAGTAGTTACATCTGGTCTTTGCTAATACTCCAAGGCTGTGTGTCATGTTGTTATTGTTTAATGCTTACAATATGTTACCATTGCATACCTCATATCCTTTGGAAATTGGTCAAAATAGTTTTACAGTGTAAATATCCTGTTACAAGTTAGCATAAACGATCGTAAGTCCATTGCTGTTACTAAGGCACAAAAATTTTTTTTCTTAAAAAATGTTTTGACAGTCTGATTCTTAAAAAATAGAGCTCAGATTACATTTTCAAGATAAGTTTAACCATTATCAAAATTGTAAAAGTGGACAGAAATTTTTTTTTTCTTTAATACTTTAAGAACTATTAAAAGTGTTTAGAAGTTTACTTTTGGAAAATATGCAGGATTTAGGTGAACTCTAAATGAAAATGCCGTATCCCTCAACTCCCCTTGTCTCAATTCTTAATTATAACTCTTTAAATAAATATGGTTATAAGAATCATGATTTTTTAGCATATTTCCTTCAAAATTTTAAAAAAATTTAAATTCACATAATGCATATGTACTTGAAAATTATAATTAATTTCTTTCTTTAAGAAAGTTATTTTTAACATAACTAATATATTTCAGAATGCAATGAGAGCAACTATGGAACACTATGCTGATAAAGGTGTTTACCCTACTATTCAAGTTCATGTCACACTGGGTAACGAGGATTTGACTGTGAAGGTAAACTTTTAAAAATTGATGTACAGGCATGCATGGACAATTCATTCTCAAGGGAAAGAAATCTAATGGATAATAAGTACATTATTTCATTTATCTGGCAGATGATAGTATTATCTCCTGAGTCTATTTCTATTTTGGTCTGTAATCCAAGTAAATCCTAGAGACAGACAATTTAGCAGTAGTCCTGAATAGCCACTGTGATAAGTAAAATCTAAAATATTTGGGTATTTGTAGTGTGATGAAGAAAGTAAGTAGTTGGGCTGGGGGATTTAGCTCAGTGGTTCTGGCGCCTGCCTTGCAATCTCAAGGTCCTGAGTTCGATCCCCACTACCAAAAAAAAGAAAAAGTAAATAGTTTTTCATTTTTAAACATTACTTTTCCATCTACTTTTATTTTATCTCTTTCGGGTCTCATAACAGCTCCTTAGTTAGGAGCACAAGTCATTTTATCTTCAGTTTAATGAGGGAACTAAGAGTGATTAGCTCAGGATCATACAGGGAATAAATGCCATGAGTTATGAAATCTAGACTTTGACACCAGTGGCCAGTTGCTTTTAGAATATGATGGTATTTCTCTCCTTAAATAATCAGATAAAGTGAAGAAAATAAAAATGAAATTTGTCAGTTCCTGTCCATTTTTGGGTCTCTGTTCTTAGAGATAATCCTTTAATGTCTTGTGGTAGTTAAGGATGTATTTCTGAGTAGTCTTCTAATATTGATACTTTTGAAATTTTCACATTTAAATAGCAGATATTAGCTTTCTCTAATAGAAGCTGAGGAATTAAAGCACCTGAGGGGTCAAATAGACCACTTGTTCCCTTCCCCCCACTCCACCCCCAAGTGCCATGTTCTTCCATGCAGTATTTTCCTAGTATTGAAATTCATGCATAGAATTATAGGTTGAAAATAATCTTGCAGAATTTTGAAAGCACCTGCTGCTGTTCCTTTTCCTAAAAGTGTACAATTCAGTCGTTTTTAATATTTCAGAGTTGTGCAACCATTACTACTGTCTAATTTTAGAACATTTTCATCACTCTCAAGAAAGATTTCAAAACCCATTAATAGCCAATAGAGTTTTCCCCTGCTCCCAGCTCTTGGCAACCACTAATCTACTTTCTCTCTGTGGATATTTCTATTCTTGAGCATTTCATCTAAATACAGTTTCACATAACTGCAGCATATCTTTGTGACTTTTTTCACTTAGCATAATGTTATAGCACGTGTCAGTAGTTGATTTCTTTTTGTGGATAATATACTGTTAGATGGGTATAACATTTTGGTTATACATTCTTTAATGGGCATTTACTTTGTTTTCATTTTTGGTTATGAATAACACAGCTGTGAACACACGTGTAAGTTTTTGTGTGAACATACATTTTTGTCCCCTTACAGATGGTCTAGGAGTTGACTGCCAAACCACATGTTACTCTGTTTAACATTTGAGAAACTGCCATATTATTCTCCAGAGTAAAAGCATCCTTTTGCATTCCTATCAGCAATCTATAAATATTCTAGTTTGTCCACATTCTTTTTGGTACTTGTTATTGTTTGTCTTTTTTATTGTAGCCATTTTTGTGAGTATGAGGTGGTATGTGATTGTGGGTTTTGATTTGCATTATTCTAATATTAGGCTGATATTGAGTGTCTTTGCATTTACTAATTGGTCATGTATAAATATTTTTTTTAAAGGAAATGTCAATTAAGATCCCTTGTCCAGTTGTTAAGTGGACTATTTGTCTTGATATTTGAGCTATGAGAGTTCTCTTTATACATTGTATATGTACACATATTATGTATGTGTGTATATATATACATATTTATATGTACATTTAGTGGATACTAGTCCCTAATGAGGTATATGCTTTGCGAGTGTGTCCTCCTAGTCAGTGAATTTCTTTTCACTTTCAGGATATCTGAGCTTTTCAAAACCCCTCTGACCATCTCATTCCCTCTCTTTTCCTGTTAAACTCTTAGGTTAGCTATATCATTTGCCATAGCTTACCCACTGCCTCAGGCAGCCTACATATTAATCCATTCCTTGTAATTGATTTGACAAGTGCTTCCGGAGATGGGGGTAGGTACATGACTTTTTAACTGGGAGGCTCAGGAATTGACCAAAAGCCTTCTCAGTGACTGCCTGGCTACTTAGTTTCATACTGGTGACATGAGGTTGATTGGGGAGGGGCAAGAGATGAAAAAGGACACATTAAAACACCACAAAGTAGGGGCCGGGGATTTAGCTCAGTGGTTTCGTTGCCTGCTGCTCAAGCGCAAGGACCCGACCAAGTTCAATCCCTGGTACCAAAAAACAAAACAAAACAAAAAACACCACAAAGCACACAGGTCTTATAGAGATTCAGTAGTTTTTCTTGAATAAATGCTTTCCAAATAGCTGCAAGCCTTTGGTTAATTTCAAATTCTGACAAAGTTGATTCTGATGATTTTTACCTTTTTCTTGATGCTTTGTTAGAGGAGAGACTTTTTAGAGGTTTTCTCTGTTATTTGCTAATGACACTCAGGCCGTTCCTTTTGAACACTTAATATTTTTTACTACCTTTCTTTGTATACTATAGCCAGTTTTAGGTGTCTGGTTTTGTGTAACTGAAGTTCTTGAGATCTTTATCTGGGTGGTGTTCTGATGGTGCTGTGATCTGACTGGACGTGGATCTTTCCTTACCTTCTGGGCCGGGCCCTTTGGGGTGTCCCATATTTCCTTCCCACTGTTTTATTCTCTTTCTAGTTGTTATATCAGAACAATGTTGGGCTTCGTGAAATTATCTTTTTTTTTCCCCTTTTTTATTCTGTTTTTTAATCTAATTTTTTATTCTGTCCCTGTGACTTTAAATTCCTAGACCTTCTATTGAATTTTTATTTCCACTATCTTCTTACAAATTTCCAAGAACTCTTTTTATTATCCCTTTTCGTAATATTCTCTTCAGTTTTATCTTATTGCTCTGAGGATATTTTAAAAAATTAATTTGTTTCTTGTATGTTGTTGCCTCTGTTTCTTTTTGTCTGTTTTATCTCTTATTGCTCATTTAAAAAGGTGAGAGTGAGGCACAAGGAAATAAATACGTTGTAATACCATCTGTTTGCTATAAAAGTAATGTGACTGTGTATGTGTCACTTCTTTTAACCTAGACATTACCTTTTTATTTTTTGGTTATGTCAGCAACTTGTCCATAAGGTTTACTTGGTTCAGAGTAAGTCCCATGTCTTCCAATTGGGCCCTGCGTCTGCTTTCTTGCTTTTCCTCCTGTGTTTGATGGGCTTTAGCATGCTGGTCTGTTGCTGCCTTTCGTTGCCTGAGGTCACCCATCTGCCCGTGGATCCAGGTTTACTGAGCCCAGGCATTCAGCAGAGATTCCTTCTGCTTAAGGACTTTGCTTAGGGACTCTGTCCATTTTGTATAAAGAAATGTTCATAATAACCCAACAATTCCACTATTACATATAGTGAATGAAAACATTCAAGCAAAAGCTTATTTATACATGAATGTTTGTGCTAGCATATTCATCATAGACAAGCCAAATAGACAAGCCAGATGTCCATCAGCTAATGAATAGGTAAACAGAATTTGGTTCATACACACAATGGAATATCATTTGGGCCTAAAAGGATTGAAGTATTAATATATGCTATAAGATGGATGTTATAACATTGAAAACATGCTATGTGAAAGAAGCCAGCTGCAAAAAGACTATGTAGGATATGATCCATTTATGCACTAAAATGTCCAGAATATATAGGGATGTAAAAAAAGACAGAAAGTAGATCAGGGTGGCTCTATAGGAGGTGATGAAAATAGTCTAATATTGACTAGTAATGGTTGCACTTATCTGCAAATATATTAAAAGCCATCAAGTTGTATACTGTACTTTAAATGTGTAAGTTGTATGGTAGGTAAATTACATGTCAGTAAAACTGTCAAAAGTAGAATAGAAAGTCACATTAGGGTTTGAAGACTGACCCAGAAGCCACTGTATTAAACTCTGCTTCCACCCATTGACCCATTGCTCCTCCTCACAGTCAAGGTCTGGTGAATGTCACCCTGTTTACATATGAAAGGCTTGCTTTCTCCTCCGTAGAGCTTGCATCCTCATCACTTGCCTAGACCTTTAGTCAAGGCCTGGGGTTTTTGAGGTTTGTTTGTTCCTGTTTTTTTTGTTTTTAACCTTGTTCATATTATTGATATTTTACACCCTTTATCCCTCTTGCTAAAAATCTTGTGAATGAGTTTTCTTTTTTTGCTTTTTTTTTTTGTTTGTTTTAATCTAGCTGTTCTTTCAGATTTTGTGTGGCTGTCTTTAGTAAATAATGTGTTATAGCCACATGTCTCTTTTTGCTGGTTTGGGGACTTAAACACATGTCATTTCAGTTAAAATTTAAATATCTTGATCCATTCACCTTTGGTATTTTACAAACTTGACAGTGAAAAGAAACTACAGGGGTTCCGGGTGAGTACAGGGCTAGAAAGTGCCCTGGTGTAGAGCTGTCATCAAGTGAATATTGATTCCTTTCCTCTGGGCCCGATGTTCCCATGAGCTAGCCCAGGCTGCCCAGGGTTATAAAGCATAGAAAGTGAAGGATGGCAGCTCTTGGCTGCATGATATTGAGAAGTGGTGATTTTGTGTACTGAAGAGAAAACTTAAAATAATTGGCCAACTTTCCTTCTTGTTGACATTACTTATCTCTTGCATAATCTCTTTTTCTTAGCACATGTTTAATGTTCACATTCTGGATTTCTTTTCTCTAAATGACTTTGATCAGGGAGTTGTTTATTGTCTGTCTGTCAATATATTTATCATCAGAGTGCCTGAAGTAGGAGTATATATACCAAATGTCTGTTTCCCCCATTATCCCTCCGTTTTCCAGAAGAACTCAGATCTGATCATTTGTTACAACTCTCTTAGAAACTCTTTTGGCTACTTTAAAACCCATGGTTCCAGTTTATTGGGGTATTGGCTGCAAAGCGAAGGAGGTTCCCTTTATCACTTTTTTTGAGGGGGCTATTTGGGGTCAAACCCAGGGGTGCTCGATTACTTAGCTATATCCCGGCCCCTTTTAAAGAATTTTTAAATTATGAGAGAGAGTCTTGCTAAGTTGCTCCACCAGGATTTAAACTTATGATCCTCCTTGTCTCTGTCTCACAATTAGCTGGCATTAGAGGTGTGTGCACCATGCCCAACTCCTTCATCACTATTTAACCAGGTTCCCATGGCTTAGTGTCCCCCTTCTGCCTCTAGTATGACTGCTTCTCTCAGTCTCATCTGTCTTGTCTCTTCTTAGCTCCTGTGCTGTCCTCAGACAGCCTATAGCTGGAAATCACTTCTTGTTTTGTGCTTGCTATATTGTTATAATCTGTCTGGCTAGAGGTCAAGAAAAATCAGGAAATACTTATTCTGGTCTATCTTGATGTCTATTCTAATATGTTATTTAGTTACTTAATATTTACAGAATGCCCAGGCATCATCCTCATGTTAGCAGCAAATGTGCAGCAAAGCAATGGATTAAAGGATGAATGAATAATTAACAAATTGATAGACTTCCCAGAACACCCAGCGCTCTGTATTTGTCTTACTAAAATGCAGTTTGCCTTTGAATTCATAGCCAAGAGCAATTTCAAGCATAATGCTATGTATAAGTTCTTAATAAGTCCTTATCTACTGTTATACTGTAATTGCTTAATTTTAGATATATTAGAGGCAGACCTTCAAATCCTGTTTCAAGGCAGAATTTTTAATTTTGAAAATTAAAATAGACCTGGGTAAGTAGTGCATTGATAAAGTACTTACCTAGCACGTCCAAGGCCCTAGGTTCAATCCCCAACACTGTAAAAAAATTAAAATTAAAATATAAATTCTGTTATAATAGTAATAGCATATGCATATTATAAAAACTTTTAAATAATGTAAAAACTAAACTGTAAGAATTAATTTAGATTTTGTGTCAGAGGAAAATGGCTGCAGTAGATTAGCCTATAGGCTGTACAAAGCCAGAAAAATAAGTCCGTATTACCTGTGACGGAAAGTAGTGTGTAAATAAATTACCATAAATTCAATCTTCCATATGATTAGTTGAGTTGAAAATGACACAAGAATAATATAAAGACCTGTGTACCATACAACTCAATAGAAAGTTGTCTGAGTTTCTGTGTAACCACTTGTGCTTCTGTTTTTTCTTCCCTAAAAAGTGAAAATTATATTGTTTTAATAATAAAAGTAATTGTGAAAAAAATCAGAAAACAAGAAATTCACCCATTCCAAAGACAAAAATTACATATCATTTTAGACCTTTTTATGATACAGTTTTTACATTAGAATTACAAATACTTCCTAACTTGCTCATTGCTGCCTAAAATATTGTGTAGACATGTCTTGTGCCAATATATACAGTTTTACAAAGTTTATTTATTTTTATTTTTTTAGACAGGGTCTTGCTATGTAGTCCAGGCTGGCCTTGAACTCGCAGAGATCCTCCTGCCCGAACCTCCTGAGTGCTGGGATTACAGGCATGTGCCACCATGCCCAGCTGTTCTACGTAGTATTTAAATAGCTAAATAGTACTCTATTTGAGAATGCAGTTTAAGTGATCTCCTGTTTAGATTGTTATTCATTTTGAGATACTCAGAACTATGATGCATGTTCTCATGCATACTTTGCATACTTTTCAGTTTGTTTTCTTGGAATATATTTTTGGAGGTAGTATTGCTGGGTCAAAGGGTACCTGTACTTTTAATTTGATCCTAGTTCCCACACTGCTTACCAGAAAGGAATAACAAACTGATTTTTGCATTCAAGATTCGCTGATTAGCTTAGGCCCAGTTCTGTGGTACAATGCCATGGTACTGGGGCTTCAGGAAATACAGGCACACAAAGCCACAGCAGTGAATTGCATAGGTACTGTATTAGAATTTCACATATTAAAGAAGTTTTGTTGCTACACCAATGAGGGAAATAAAATATTTGTGTTTGCAGATTGGACTGTGTGGTATTCATTTTCCAAAGCAGCACTCTCCCTCCAGCAGTTAAACCATGTTGGTAATTTGTTGTTTCTGAGAGTTGGTCATAGAGCTTGATCCTCTTTTAATCTCAGATGAGTGACAGAGGAGGTGGTGTCCCTTTGAGGAAGATTGACAGACTCTTCAACTACATGTATTCAACCGCACCGCGGCCCCGTGTGGAGACGTCCCGAGCAGCACCCCTGGTATGTGATCCAGAAACACCAAGTTGTGACTCTGTGAGAGACACCTTCTGCAGGTTCCAGCTGCCCAATAAACCATCCAAACTAGTTGTGTAAGATGTTCCACAAGGAAGAAGGGAAGCGCTTAGAAACACACATTTGCCTCTCAGTTGAAACAATCCTCAGAACACAATTTTTCAATTGAAATGGGAACAGAAAAGATGATTGTTTTATTAGAGTTCCTACTGCTGAGCTTGATAGTGAATAACAGCAGATTTCCTATGGTAAACCATATTCTAGTGTATTATTTCTAATGTGAAGAATAAATTACTGGTTTTAATAGTATTTGATTATTATATTCTGATATATTATTTCTAATGTGAAGAATAAATTATTGGTCTTACTAGTATTTGGTTAACACTGATTTAATCTTTAATGTCAACTTTTTCCTCAAGTGTTTGTAATTAGAAAGATGTTACATTCTAGACTCAGAGGTAAGACTGAAATTCAGGTAACATTTAATCACTGGTGAGAAATAAACTGGAATTCTAATTATTTTGATGGTTTTTTCCCCTTAAGTTTATTGGTACATCTTAGGTATACAATACAATTATATTCATCATTGGGATTTTTGTGCCTTTACATAATAGATCTTGGTTCTTAGTTTTTTCCCCTTCCCCTCCCTTCACCCCCTCCACCCTTCCCTGTTTGCAAAGACTTTGTTTCCATTTTTTTCCTTTTTTCATATTTTTTCTTTTCCCTTCTTTCCTTTTCCTGACCCCTCCCACTTCCCCTACTCCTTTAGACCTTTTCTTCCTATTACACAATATCAATTATACATTTTTTAAATTACAGTATCAAAATTTAGAGGACATTACCACAGATTTTACAGAATTTAAAAGGATATAGAAAGCATATTACAAAAATCTTTTTTGAA